TTGTTTTCCGGCGTGTTTTCACCAATCTTTGAGCAAGAATATTGGCCGGACCAGCCTTCTCTGCATCAATCTCTGGAACCTGGATGATGGACTGATCCACGATATCACTAGAGTGCAAACACGCTTTAAGCTTGCTCACATGGAACGTTGAATGAATCTTCGAACTAACTAGCAAGTCCAAAGTGTATGCAAGATCCCCTACACGCTGTAAAATTGTCCAAGGTCCACAATACCGTGGAGACAACTTAGCACTGCCACCTCTTTTTAGAGACCGTTGTGTATCCGACAGCTTAAGGAAAACCTTGTCACCAACTTTGTACTCTTGATGATGACGATGCTCATCAGCCAATCTTTTGTCTCGTTCTTGAGCTTGCCTCATGTTCAATTTTGCCAACTCAAGCTTGTCTTGCATATCCTCCAGGAAATCACAAGCATGAGGAACCCGAACTAAAGCCAAATTCAAACTCACAGGAGACCTAGGCTCATAGCCATACATCGCCATAAAAGGAGACATGCCAATAGCCGATTGATGAGCGCTATTGTGAGCAAACTGAAGCAAAGGCAAGTATTTTTCCCATACTCCTTGTCGAGTCAAGTTTCCCACAAAAGACCGTAGCATATCTTCTAATAGCTAATTCATGCGCTCTGTCTGCCCATCAGATTGTGGATGCTCACCACTACTCATGCTCAGTTTAGTCTCTAGTTTCTCAAAGACCGTTTGCCAAAACTTGGACGTGAACTTAGGATCCCGATCACTCACAATGTCACCCGGCAAACCATAGAGACTGAATAACCGGTCTACAAACAACTGAGCAAGTTCAGAAGCTTTTATCGTTGTCTTCACAGGGAAGAAGTGAGCCATCTTCGTCAAGCAATCCACAACAACCCAAATAGCATCATTTCCTCGAAAGGTTTTGGGCAAACCAGTGATAAAGTCCATCGAGATGCTATCCCACTTATTCTCGGGTACACGTAAAGGATGATAGAGGCCAGCAAGCTTCTGATGATCAATTTTGACCGCCTGGCAGGTCAAACAACCACGTACGTACTTCTCAACATCTGACTTCATCCCAGGCCAAAATAAATGCCTCTTCACCAACATATATGTTCTCAATACCCCCGGATGCCCAGCACTTGGCACATCATGACACTCAACCAAAATCCGTTTGATGAGTTTGTCAACACGAGGAACCACAACACGTCCCTTCTTCACCAGGATTCCATCTCGTATTTCGAATGACGCAAACTTGTCACCCTTCAAATCTGTAGAGGCGTCCCTCAACAAAACCTTCGCGCGAATATCAGTGATAAAGGAGTCAAAGTCAGCAAACTCCTTAACCTCATCCAAGAGATCGCTGGATAGCTTCACAAACGAGATAGAATTTACCATCCTGGATAATGCATCAGCCACCTTATTATCACCTCCATGCTTGTACCGGATCTTAACAGACATTTCCTGCAGGAACTCTTGCCAACGAGCAAGGTGGCCTCGAAGATCCTTTTGTCAACTGAAATATTGGAGAGATTGATGGTCTGAATCCACATGGAAGTCCGATCCATATAAATAATGTCGCCATTCTTGAGTAGGTCAATTCTGCTGTGTGATATCAAACTTGTGGCTCATGAAGGCGAGAGAATGCCTAACTTGAAGCAATACGGCCTCAAAAGCATTATCACTCACATCATTGCCTATAATTTCCACCACAGTCACCTTATCATTCATTGACCCCTTCAGAACAATCCTTGCTCTGATGTCCAGCTCTATGGCAACGAAAACAATTGCCCTCCGCCTTGTCTTTCTCTCGCTGGTCCAAACGAAGTTTCTTAGCTTCACTACCATCTTCATGCTTCGAGCCACAACGGAATAACGACCGTTTCTTCCCCGAATATGAAGAATTAGCAAGCTGGTCATCACGTTGACTACTCCGTGGACTATCTCGTTGACCAGAGTTGACCGAGTTGACTGACGGTTCGGGCGAAAAGATCTGAGCCTTAGTGATAGCATCAGTCAATGTTGCTGGAAAATCCTTCTTGACCTTCTACTGCACATCCACTGAGCTCAATCCTTTGATAAAACATTGCACCTTTAGCAACTCATTATAGGTGCTCGTGAGACTAAGGCAAAGATCACGGAACTTGCGGGCATACGCATCCAAAGACAAAGTCCCCTGCCGGATCTCTAACAACTGATTCACAAGATCAACCTCTTCAAACTTCTTGACAAACGAAGTGCAGAAAACCTTTGTCAAATCAGTCCAAAACGTCGGCGTCGGATTAGCTTTGATGTAGTTCTTCCACCACGAAGAAGCATGGCCCGTAAGCTTCGTCACAAAGAAATCTATCTTTACCTTATCCTCACAAGGATTGTGAGACCAACAACTTTCCCACAATTCCAACCAAGAATCAACCTTTTGATTATCACAAACATCCGGTGATGATTTCCATTCCATGATACCATAATCCTTGGCATGCTTGACGTACCAATGGTAATCACGGACATGAGATTGATTCAACCCTTGAGGGTTCATGCGAAGCAAGAAATCCTTAATGAGATTGATAGAATCCTTAACCTCTTTTATGTCGCTCTGAACTGCAGAAATTTGGCGTCCCTGCCGCACAACAACATCATCAAAAGTCTCTTCCGCATCGTCATGGCTATCCTCATTAACGCCATACTCCTCATCAGGATCAATATCTTGCTCACCCGCCATCCCCAAAAGAACGTGCTGCTCCGATACCAATGAAACGAACAAGAGAGCGAACCCTAGGCCAACCTCCCAACCCTTAAGGCGTTACGGCCTTAAATCCCACAGGGCATAGAATATTCTCAGAATATTCCCGTGGTTCGTGTCAACCATTTCTTAAGTTGTTTGGGCAGATCTTTCTCTTGAAAATGCTTTGTTGATTCTCCGAGAAACCACTTTTTTGTAGATCTATTGCACCAAAGAGCAAGCGAAATGTCTATTAAGATCCGGTACAAGCATGGAGGTGATAATAAGGTGGCTGATGCATTATCTAGGATGGTAAATTCTATCTCGTTTGTGAAGCTATCTAGCGATCTCTTGGATGAGCTTAAGGAGTTTGCTGACTTTGACTCCTTTATCACTGATATTCGCGCGAAGGTTTTGTTGAGGGACGCCTCTACAGATTTGAAGGGTGACAAGTTTGCGTCATTCGAAATACGAGATGGAATCCTGGTGAAGAAGGGACGTGTTGTGGTTCCTCGTGTTGACAAACTCATCAAACGGATTTTGGTTGAATGTCATGATGTGCCAAGTGCTGGGCATCCGGGGGTATTGAGAACGTATATGTTGGTGAAGAGGCATTTCTTTTGGCCTGGGATAAAGAGCAAGCGATACAAGATGAACCCAGCAAGCTGGACGCCAAATTCCGCACTGGGAGCTCGATCAAGGACCGCGACAACCTGTGGTGCGGGCAACAAGAGCAGCTCCCAATCGATGATCAAGGAAACACTTCTATAGCTCATGGATCTGGGAGGTGCTGGGGCAGGAAGCGCTTCTACAACTCGTGCATCGGGGAATCGAGAGATTTCTCCAGAGGTCGCTGGTGCTCACGGCATTCAAGGCTTGCAGCTGGTGCCTCGGGCGGTGCTCAATGTTTCTTTTTGGTTGTTACATCGGCAGATGGAGTGTGTGGATGAAAAAGCGCATTCGGAGCCTTTTTCTGCGGAGAAGCATTAGCACAGCAATCACGCAGGGCCGATTGTTTGCGCCACTAGGTAATGTTGATATTAACTTCACTTTTTACTGCATGGTTTGGCACAATGGAATGAAAAACCAAGAAGCTTGAATAAGGTATCTGCACATGATCAGAGCCGGTTTAAAGTACCATATTTGGTCAACTAGCATGACGTTGGTTTTAACTTGGCGGGAGTAAACGATGGTCAAGCAGGGCACAGAGCTCATGGAACATGGATCCTAGGCAAGCGGCGCATTGCGGGATCGCTCATCCATTCACGAGGTAAGAATCATCTGAAACTCGGGTGGATTTGGCGCTGGAGTGTCTTGTTTAGCTCACTCTAGGAGAAACCATTCGGTCGCTCTTGCGAGTTCTTTTGTTTAAGACGCACTCATATTTTCTTTCCTTTTCTTGTGTAGCTTAAAAATGCAAGACTCTGCTAGCATGCATCGTCAACAACAGCAGCAACTTTTCTCGTCAAGCTGGGCCTCACCTCCGCACTGTAGAACTTGGCGGACCTCAAGCTGAGAGCCACGGCGATGGCACACCCAAACAAACAGGTGGCGGCCATGACGAAGAACGTTTCCCTGTAGCACTTGGCACCTTGGCACAGGAGCGAAGCCTCCAGCGTGTCAGGGCCCCGGTATCTCCTGGCTTGCCGATCGTAGAACACACCCGCAACTTCCACCGACAGGACATACGTCCCAATCCCCTTTGCGATGTTTGGGAAGCTCTGGAGAACTCCATAGTGCTTGAGCCCGAAGATCTCCGCGATGATGGTCGACAGCACCGCCCACTGGCCTCCGGTGGCGAGGCCGATGATGATAGAGCCGATGTATAGCGCCCCGGGAAGGCCCAAGGCGATGAGCAAGTTGCCGAGCGCTAGAAAGCCGACCACCGCAGCGAACACGAACGGCCGTCCAATGCCAAACTTGTGGAGGAGTATCTCGGACACGAAGCCGCAGCCGATTGCTCCCAGGAAGTCCCAGATGTTGAGGAGAGCCACGAAGATGTTCATCCTTGCGGTGGAGTGTCCCAGGGAGGCGCTCAGCTGGCCCAAGTTATTGTAGAAGGTGGACACGGTTCCCAGGCCGAAGGAAGTTGCGATGAGCATGAGCCACATATCGATGCTCAGCAAGGCGTGGACGAGCCTGTAGTCCTTCCCTCTCGCTGGAACTTGGAACCATCTGCAGCTGCCAGCGCCGGAAGCTTGAGAAGGAGAATGGTCAACGACTTGCAGAGCACTCGGGGTGGAATTCATATCCGCGAGCTGAGCTTTAGACTTATCGAAGAGCAGAAAGGAGCGAGCGTGGAACTGGAAGAAAGTCTGGAACACAACCGCGAATGTGGTTGCTCCCAGGTCATTGCTGCCGTCCAGCAAGCTCAGCAGCATCCCGTGATGTTTGGGGAAGTTCGTGGCACAGGTCGACAGGACAGCCGTGACTGCAAAGCCTACAGAGGCGCCGACGAGAAACATATAGAAGCTCATTTGCCATGCCGGTGGGTGATGGCGAGCCAGGCCATGGTGTAGCCGAACAAGTTGAGCAATGCGGAGACGAACATGGTGAGACGGGGTCCGACTCTCGCATTGAGCAAGCCGGCCAGGAAAGCCATGCTGGTGCCGAGATCCTTGAAAAAACTGATGGTATTGACGGACTCTTGCTTGTAATGCAGGGAGACTTTGAGCTCCTGTGAGAACAAGCTGAAGCTGGTGAGCGTGCCTCCGGTGATTGCTATCAGATAGAAGCCCGACACTGCGATGATCCAGCGATTGCTGGCGATGGAGAAGAGTTCCTTGGCCATTGCTAGCGCCATTGCCGCCAGCGCTGTGAGGTAACAAGAAAGCTCTATAAAATCATCGTGCTTTATGCAAAGGCTTTTGTTTTTGCAGTCCGTGCCACGACCGGACTTGCGTCGACGATCTTTCCTGTTCGATACAAAAACGTGACAATTCCGAAGTTTCGTGGCTCCAAATTTTCTATGTCGTGGGTCAACTAAGTTGAGCATTGACGCTTGATGTGGATCTGGGGCAGGGCCAGATGCGGACGCTGGTCAAGTCACGGGTACGGAAAAGTCTACAAAATGGTCTTGAGCGGGGGCGGATCCGGAATCGGCGCAATGGTAACGTTCTTATCATCTTCGTGCAAATCTTATTTTTTGCAACTATATAAGCAGGGCACTGGGAGGACACTGATATCCGCATCTCAAAGTTGAGAAAGCCTAGCATCCAAGCATACATTTCCATCTTTCATCTTTCAAGCTTTCTTGGTTACACAGTCCCATCCATGGCTGGCATCAAGGCATTTGTTGACAGCTGCAATGGGACGCTGGACAGCGTTCCAGACAGATACATGATGCCGAATGAAGCTGCCGATGTCTCCCGGTACGCGGTGCTGCCGATAGTCGATGTGGCAAGCGAGAGCTTCGAGACGGATCTCGAAGCTCTCGCTTGCACAAAGTACGGAATGTTCTACGTAAGTTTTGATGAGGTGTCTTTTTCCTGTAGTACATGTTTGCTAAGTTGTTGTTCTTCTGACTTGCAGCTCAAGAACCACGGAATTCACACCGAGGATTTGATGAGGTGCGCTCTCGAGTTCTTCACTTCGCCCAGCGAGGACAAGATGTGATACTACACCGAGGAGATCTTCACACCCGTCCGCTACTGCACCAGCATGATGCCTTCGAAAGAAGAGAAGCTCGAGTGGCACGACCACCTCCAGATGTGGCTCAAGGAGGAGTCCCTCGGAGTGCACCCCTGACCCGCGTTCCCAGCCAGCTACAAGTCAGTTTCTCGTTCCTTGATTATGGTATTGAGCTAGATTGCTGACGCGCTATACGCAACAGGGACGTTGGATCCGAGTACGCCAGAAACATCTTCAAGCTCGGGAAGAGGATGCTGTTGGTCATGTCCGAGGGACTTGGCCTCCGCTCAAACCGTCTTCTGGAAGCATTCGGAGACATGGTTCTTCTGACGAGAGCAAACTTCTATCTGGCTTGCCCGAACCCGAGGCAGGCCTTGGGCATGGAAGGCCACACCGACAGCGGCGGCCTCACGTTTGTGCTCCAGGGGATTGCAGCTGAAGCAAGGCGAGGATTGGTACAACGTGAGGCCACTCGAGGGAATGCTGGTGGTCAACATGGGCGACCAGCTAGAGGTACGAGCAGTCGAAAACGTTTTGAGAAACTGTGGATTGATCTTTGTCTTGGTTGATTGTCTTGTATCATAAGCTGAGCAATGGGAGATACAAGAGCATATTGCACATGATGATGGTGAACTCGAAGAGCTCAAGGCTGTCCGTCGGGGCATTCCTGGGGCCGTCACTAGACGCGGAGATCAGCCCAATTTCAGAGCTGGTGAGCCAGGAGAGTCCGGCAAAGTACCGCAGCAGGACTTATAGGGATTACATGCATGAGGTGTACACGGAGCACTTCTCCGGGAAGAATGTCTATGTGGCTTGAGTCTTGGGTAGTCAAAGGTACCAATTTTTTTCTCATTCTCAGAAATAAAACAATTGCAAGAAATGTTTGCTCACAAGGATCTTAGTTTGATTAGCAAAGATTTTATCACAATATTATATAGAGGTACGAAATTTCATAGCAAGCCGACTGTGTTTTGCGTAGAAGATTGTAAAAGTTTAACAATCCAGCAACATATTGTTAAGCAATATAACTTTTTAAAATCACAATTTGAAAAACAAATGAAGCTTCTTATTATATAAACTCTCATCATTTTTTTAGGGCAGCAAAGAAGCTTTGAGGTATATGACTAAGGTGAAAGTCCTCACCAAAAGCAGTGGTTTTCCAGCAGGTGTCCACTCTTTCTTTTCATTTTCTTGGGATTTTCAGTTGCCATTTGAACTTCGATAGGTAATTGAGAATGGATTTGTAGGGGGTATTAGCTGCTCCTGATCCCTTTGTATAAAGTGTTCAACCATTGCACATGCATAATCTCTGGAGGATCGACTTGTTGGACGTTATGCCAAACTTTATAAACTTATGGTTTAACTTGCTACAACATTTGATACGGTCCTTTTTATTGAATAAGGAGCCCCTTAGATAAACCACATACTGTAAAATGGGGAAAACGGACTAACATTAAGTCATCCACTTTGTACTCTATAGGTGAACAATGATAGGAGTTGTAACGCCATTGTTATCCCACTTGTATACGGCTTAAGTGTTGGCAAATTTTGTTCAGACAAGTGGAAGAATGTTCATCAAATATTAATCCTACGACTTAGCAACAACAACTCGTGGCAATTGCGAAGGTTAACCCAGCTCTGTTAGTAATATTGAATCATAACCATATAGAAGTTTATATGGTGAAACACCAATAGAATTCTACACCCTTGTGACATTTGCATACCGAAGAAACGGCAAATAACCATCTTAATCCGAATGCTGAAAGGTCATGTATTTCGTGATCATCCCTTTGAATGTTTGAATGAGCCATTCCACTGACTGTTTGATTGTGGATGATAAACACTCATGAAAATGTGGTGTATCCCCAACCGAGATGTCAAAACATGAAATGCCTCAACCATAAATGCAGAATTATTATCCGAAAGAATTCGTTCTGGACAAAATTGCTAGAACACTACTCGATTGAGGAGGAAGTATCCAACAGCAGTTGCAAATGCGCTAGCAAAAGCATCAACTTCCACCTAACGAGTCAAGTAGTCAGAAGCAATAATAACATACTCATTGCCAACAATCGACCGTGGAAAAAGTCCCATAAGATCAAATGCCACCAACTCAAACGGACGGGAAATTGCAATTAATTCCAACTATCCTTCCGCGGCACGAGAGGGAGTATTACGAGCTTGGCACCAAATGCAGCTATGCAGATATTGGATAACATCACGTCGTATTTTCAGCTAATAGAAAGACCTGCATAGTTTCTTGTTCACACGACAATGTCCCATATGCCCGTCTAAAATAGGAGAATCGTGGTAAGCATGGAGAAACCGCTGAGTAATGACAGAAGGCACCACCAATCGTAAATGATCATCAGGATCTGTCCTCACAAAATAAAAAAGGCCATCATAAAAAAGATACTGAGAATGTAAATGCCGGAATGGTAAATCATCAGCAAGTGATGCAAGATTCTTAAACCCCATTTCGAAACCTTCATATCCATGGCTCAAGTTTTTTAGCCTCACGAACCTCATCAAGAGAAGGTAGATCCTTCTTTGCATCTTGCGGACACTAAATGTCGAGTATAGTAACCGTTGATGGCACAGAATTCTCGTCTAGAAAATCCACAGGTGCCGGAATAACAAGCTCATTAAAAACATGAGAAAAGAGTGGAGAAGGAAAAAGGAGCTCGAGAAAGAAAATTAACATTAGCTATAGAACTCTTAAAGTGATGAACAACATCAAAATCATATATCTAAAGCTTCAAAACTCACCGCATAGAAAAAAGAAATTTTTGCCTGTAATTTTCAGCAAATACTAGATATTGATCGAGGGCGAACTTATAGAGAAATCTGTAAAAGTCATTAGAAGATCAACACAAGAAACCATGACACAAAACCACACAGGCTTATGTCTATGAAATAGCTACATTGGTCATAACTTGTTAAAAGTATAGTTCAAATCTTCACCCGTTATGCTTTGGTGTATCCAAAGTTACAGAGGTAAGATTAATACAGTTGAATGTCATGTACAAGTCCCTTTTGCCGGCTGAATCACACCTGGACTCCACTCCGTACTGGCCAACATATCCACTTCCTTACAGAATATGCTCCAGTAGCACTGGGTAAGCTTTGGCAAAAGTCCCATCAATCATTCTTCTTGCTGTTATGAGCTTTGTCTTGAGCACAAATGCCTAGTTTCAGCTGATCCTTACAATTGTAAGTATCTATCTAGCATTTTGACTTTCGCATTCAGTTTTAACTAGCATTTGACTAATAGATAGGTCAACATTGTCAACTCGAATGTCCAAGACTATCTTAAGATCGGATTGGCTCCCACATGTGGGACACTCAACATGGGTGAAGTCAAATTCATGGATAACCATCTAGAGGTAGTTCGTGTGCAACTTGGCAAGCTATCAGATAATATACATACATGGGATAAAGTTCCTACAAAACCCTGTGCTTGAGCCATTCAGTGATCCTACTACAAGAGCTACTAAATATACAAAAGATGACAATTTCTAATCGAGTATTCATATTTTCATGAAAAATTCACTGAACTGATAATATGCTGACATCCTTAACTCCACGCACATTGACATGAACATTATGGGTAGAACTGTTGCTCACACTAGGATAAACGTTGAGAACATTATAAGTTCTACCATCATGAATACCATGGAAAAATGCTTAGGCATCCTGATATATAACATCCCTACTTCAAGGTCAGTAAAATAACTTCCAAGGGGTTATTCCTTTTCTTGAACCTCTTGTTTCAGGTCTACTGTATCTGTTGATCAACACATGAAAGTAAAACAATTGATATTTCTGGAGGTATTGCTTGTTGATTTGTCCTCCCAACGCTACATTGACTTTCGTTGACTCATTTGAAGAATTCAACATGCGAAAATTTAAACCCAGAGACAGTGTCATAGATCAGCTCACCCCCAACGCGACACATACTGCAGTGTGCGGTGTTGAATGCATGTTTAATCCTAAGTAACTGACAGCTAGTTTCAGCCATAACATCGCTAAGCACAAACCCATCACTTTGAAGAACAAATTTCTTCAGAAAGCTGAAGAGATGTTTGCTCCATAATATTGTCATGAAGAATGAGTAATAAACAACCAATATTGATGTGGCACTTCACGTGGGTTGGCAGCCCGCCACGCCATCGGCTACCATTTCTTAAGTTGTTTGGGCAGATCTTTCTCTTGAAAATGCTTTGTTGATTCTCCGAGAAATCACTTTTTTCTAGATTTGTTGCACCAAAGAGCAAGCGATACAAGACGAACCCAGCAAGCTGGACGCCGAATTCCGCACTGGGAGCTCGATCAAGGACCGCGACAACCTGTGGCGCGGGCAACAAGAGCAGCTCCCAATCGATGATCAAGGAAACACTTCTATAGCTCATGGATCCGGGAGGTGCTGGGGCAGGAAGCGCTTCTACAACTCGTGCATCGGGGAATCGAGAGATTTCTCCAGACGTCGCTGGTGCTCGCGGCATTCAAGGCTTGCTCGGGCGGTGCTCAATGTTTCTTTTTGGTTGTTACAGTTACACCGGCAGATGGAGCTTGTGATTCCCAAGTTAGGGCGGATGAAAAAGCGCGCAGATTAGCACAGCAATCACGCAGCCGATTGTTTGCGCCACTAGGTAATGTTGATGTTAACTTCGCTTTTTACTGCATGGTTTGGCACAATGGATGAAAATGGAAAACCAAGAAGCTTGAATAAGGTATCTGCACATGATCAGAGCTGGATTAAAGTACCATATTTGGTGCTTTCCAGCATGACGTTGGTTTTAACTTTGGCGGGAGTAAACGATGGAGGGCACAGAGCTCATGGAGCATGGATCCTAGGGCAAGCGGCGCATTGCGGGATCGCTCATCCATTCACGAGGTAAGAATCATCTGAAGCTTGGGTGGATTTGGCGCTGGAGTGTCTTGTTTAGCTCACTCCAGGAGAAACCATTCGGTCGCTCTTGCGAGTGCATGCATCGTCAACAACAGCAGCAACTTTTCTCGTCAAGCTGGGCCTCACCTCCGCACTGTAGAACTTGGCGGACCTCAAGCTGAGAGCCACGGCGAGCACACCCAAACAAACAGGTGGCGGCCATGACGAAGAACGTTTTCCTGTAGCACTTGGCATAAGGAAGTGGATACGTTGGCCAGTAGGGAGTGGAGTCCAGGTGTGATTCAGCCGGCAAAAGGGACTTGTATATGACATTCAACCGTATTAATCTTACCTCTGTACACCAAAGCATAACGGGCTAGGATTTGAACTATATTTTTCAACAAGCTATGACCAACGTAGCTGTTTCATAGACATAAGCCCGTGTGGTTTTATGTCATGGTTTCTTGTGTTGATCTTCAAGTGACTTGCAGATTTCTCTCCCCGTAGGTCTTGCTGAAAACTGCAGGCAAAAATTTCTCAACTATCTATCGAAGTTCAAGTTGCTGAGGGATGGCAGCTGAAAATCTCAAGAAAATGAAAAGAAAGAATGGACACCTGCTGGAAAACCACTGCTTTTGGTGAGGACTTTCACCTTAGTCATATCATTCTGGTACCTCAAAGCTTCTTCGCTGCCTTAAGAAAATGATGAGACTTTATATAATAAGAAGCTTCGTATGTCTTTTATATTGCGATTTTAAAAAGTTATATTGCTTAACAATACATTGCTGGACTTCCTCCCAGATTGTTAAACTTTTACAATCTTCTACGCATCACACAGTTGGCTTGCTATGAAATTTCGCACCTCTATATAATATTGTGATAAAATCTTTGCTTATCAAACTAAGATCCTTGTGAGCAAACATTTCTTGCAATTGTTTTATTTGTGAGAATGAGAAAAAAATTGATACCTTTGACTACCCAAGACTCAAGCCACATAGACATTCTTCCCGGAGAAGTGCTCCGTGTACACCTCGTGCATGTAATCCCTATAAGTCCTGCTGCGGTACTTTGCCGGACTCTCCTGGCTCACCAGCTCTGGAATCGGGCTGATCTCCGCGTCTAGTGACGGCCCCAGGAACGCCCCGACGGACAGCCTTGAGCTCTTCGAGTTCACCATCACCCTGTGCAATATGCTCTTGTATCTCCCATTGCTGAGCTTCTGATACAAGACAATCAACCAAGACAAAGATCAATCCACAGTTTCTCAAAAAGTTTTCGACTGCTCGTACCTCTAGCTGATCGCCCATGTTGACCACCAGCATTCCCTCGAGTGGCCTCACGTTGTACCAATCCTCGCCTTGCTTCAGCTGCAATCCCCCGACTCCATCCTGGAGCACAAACGTGAGGCCGCCGCTGTCGGTGTGGCCTTCCATGCCCAAGGCCTGCCTCGGGTTCGGGCAAGCCGGATAGAAGTTTGCTCTCGTCAGAAGAACCATGTCTGCGAATGCTTCCAGAAGACGGTTTGAGCGGAGGCCAAGTCCCTCGGACATGACCAACAGCATCCTCTTCCCGAGCTTGAAGATGTTTCTGGCGTACTCGGATCCAACGTCCCTGTTGCATATAGAGCGTCAGCAATCTAGATCAATACGAAAAATCAAGGAGCGAGAAACTGACTTGTAGCTGGCTGGGAACGCGGGCCAGGGGTGCACTCCGAGGGACTCTTCCTTGAGCCACATCTGGAGGTGGTCGTGCCACTCGAGCTTCTCTTCTTTCGAAGGCATCATGCTGGTGCAGTAGCGGACAGGTGTGAAGATCTCCTCGGTGTAGTACCGCATCTTGTCCTCGCTGGGCGAGTTGAAGAACTCGAGAGCACACCTCATCACATCCTCGGTGTGAATTCCGTGGTTCTTGAGCTGCAAGTCAGAAGAACAACAACTTACAGGAAAAAGATACCTCATCAAAACTTACGTAGAACATTCCGTACTTTGTGCAAGCGTCAACGAGATCCCTCTCGAAGCTCTCGCTCGCCACGTCGACTATCGGCAGCACCGCGTACCGGGAGACATCGGCAGCGACATTCGGCATCATGTATCTCTCCGGAACGCCCGACAGTGTCCCGTTGCAGCTGTCAACAAATGCCTTGATGCCAGCCATGGATGGGACTGTGTAAGCAAGAAAGCTTGGAAGACGAAAGATGGAAATGGAAATGTATGCTTGGATGCTAGGCTTTCTCAACTTTGAGATGCGGATATCAGTCTCCTCCCAGTGCCCTGCTTATATAGTTGCAAAAAACTAAGATTTCTATTTGGCAGTACGAATTTAAGAACGTTACGATTTGCACGAACTTTCCATGGATCCGCCTCCATTCAAGACCAATTTGTAGACTTTTCCGTCGCAATGACAGATTAGCGTTCGCATCTGGGGCCAAATGCGAACGCTAATCTGTCACTGATATGGAAAATGCAGTCAACGCCCAACTTAGTTGACTTGCGCATAGAAAACTTAGCCACGAAACTACGTTATTGCCAAGTTTATGTTAAACTCTCTGCTTGAAGAAGCTTGCCATTTCAAAGAGCAAGCGACGGCTCGAGTCAGAGCGTCACATGGACTGCAATTATAACAAGATATAAAGGCATGAAAACCATGAATCTGAAGAGCTTTCTCGTTACCTTGTGCGGTCCACAAAGCTGGCAGCAATGGCGCTAGCAATGGCCAAGGAACTCTTCTCCATCGCCAGCAATCGCTGGATCGTCGCAGTCTCGGGCTTCTACCTGATAGCAATCACCGGAGGCACGCTCACCAGCTTCAGCTTGTTCTCACAGGAGCTCAAAATCTCCCTGCATTACAAGCAAGAGTCCGTCAATACCATCAGCTTCTTCAAGGATCTCGGCACTAGCATGGCTTTCCTGGCCGGCTTGCTCAATGCGAGAGTCGGCCCCCGTCTCACCATGTTCGTCTCCGCATTGCTCAACCTGTTCGGCTACACCATGGCCTGGCTCGCCATCACTCACCAGATTGCTCGTCCACCGGCATGGCAAATGAGCTTCTATATGTTTCTCGTCGGCGCCTCCGTAGGCTTTGCAGTCACGGCTGTTCTGACCACCTGTGCCACAAACTTCCCGAAACACCACCAGGGGATGCTGCTGAGCTTGCTCGACGGCAGCAATGGCCTGGGAGCAACCGCATTCGCGGTTGTGTTCCAGACTTTCTTCCAGTTCCACGCTCGCTCCTTTCTGCTCTTCCTGGGGCTGCTACCTACGTTCCTGTATCTGCTGCTTGGCCTCTTCCTCGGGCCCGTGCCTGTCATCGAGAAGTCCAGCGACAAGTCCATTCTCCGCTCGTTCCTCATCACCACCTTTGCCTTAGCTGCCTATCTCCTCGTCGTCACAGTCATCGAGGGGACCATACCGAGCAGGCTTCCAGACTCGGTGCCTTTGGTGTTCTTTGGTTTGATGCTGCTCATCGTCCTACTTCCAGTTGCTCTGGTTGTCCGAGCTAAGATTCGATCACATTCGAACAGTGCTGGTGCTGTCGAAAGCATACCGCCATGTCATAACTCTGAAGCTCAGCTCGCGGATATGAATTCCACCCCTAGTTCTCTGCAAGTCGTCGACCATTCTCCTTCTCAAGCTTCCGGCGCTGGCATCCACAGATGGTTCGAAGTTCCAGCAAGTCGTCGACCATTCTCCTTCTCAAGCTTCCGGCGCTGGCATCCACAGATGGTTCCAAGTTCCAGCGAGAGGGAAGGACTACAGACTCGTCCACGCCTTGCTGAGCATCGATATGTGGCTCATGCTCATCGCGACTTCCTGCGGCCTGGGAACCGTGTCCACCTTCTACAACAACTTGGGCCAGCTGAGCGCCTCCCTGGGATACTCCACCGCAAGGATGAACATCTTCGTGGCTCTCCTCAACCTCTGGGACTTCCTGGGAGCAATCGGTTGCGGCTTCGTGTCCGAGATACTCCTCCACAAGTTTGGCATTGGACGGCCGTTCGTGTTCGCTGCGGTCGTCGGCTTTCTAGCGCTCGGCAACTTGCTCATCGCCTTGGGCCTTCCCGGCGCGCTGTACATCGGCTCCATCATCATCGGCCTCGCCACCGGAGGCCAGTGGGCGGTGCTGTCGACCATCATCGCGGAGATCTTCGGGCTCAAGCACTATGGAGTTCTCCAGAGCTTCCCAAACGTTGCAAAGGGGATTGGGACGTATGTCCTGTCGGTGGAAGTTGCGGGTGTGTTCTACGATCGGCAAGCCAGGAGATACCGGGGCCCTGACACGCTGGAGGCCTCGCTCTTGTGCCACGGTGCCAAGTGCTACAGGGAAACGTTCTTCGTCATGGCCGCCACCTGTTTGTTTGGGTGTGCCATCGCCGTGGCTCTCAGCTTGAGGTCCGCCAAGTTCTACAGTGCGGAGGTGAGGCCCAGCTTGACGAGAAAAGTTGCTGCTGTTGTTGACGATGCATGCTAGCAGAGTCTTGCATTTTTTTTAAGCTACACAAGAAAAGGAAAGAAAAATATGAGCGCGTCTTAAGCAAAAGAAGTCGCAAGAGAGACCGAATGGTTTCTCCTAGAGTGAGCTAAACAAGACACTCCAGCGCCAAATCCACCCAAGCTAAAGATGATTCTTACCTCGTGAATGGATGAGCGATCCCGCAATGCGCCGCTTGCCCTAGGATCCATGTTCCATGAGCTCTGTGCCCTGCTTGACCATCGTTTACTCCCGCCTAGTTGTGTGGAAAGCACCAATTATGGTACTTTAATCCATTCAAGCTTCTTGGTTTTCCATTTTCATCCATTGTGCCAAACCAAACCATGCAGTAAAAAGCGAAGTTAATATCAACATTACCTAGTGGCGCAAACAATCGGCCCTGCGTGATTGCTGTGCTAATGCTTCTCCGCAGAAAAAGGCTCCGAATGGGCTTTTTCATCTGCCCTAACTTGGGAATCACAAGCTCCATCTGCCGATGTAACAACCAAAAAGAAACATTGAGCACCGCCCGAGGCACCAGCTGCAAGCCTTGAATGCCGCGAGCACCAGCGAGAAATCTCTGGAGAAATCTCTCGATTCCCCGATGCACGAGTTGTAGAAGCGCTTCCTGTCCCAGCACCTCCCGGATCCAAGAGCTATAAAAGTGTTTCCCTGGTCATTACTTCGATTGGGAGCTGCTCTTGTTGCCCGCGCCACAGGCGGTCCTTGATCGAGCTCCCAGTGCGGAATTCGGTGTCCAGCTTGCTGGGTTAGTCTTGTATCGCTTGCTCTTTGGTGCAACAGATCTAGAAAAAAGTGATTTCTCGGAGAATCAACAAAGCATTTTCAAGAGAAAGATCTGCCCAAACAACTTAAGAAATGGTAGCCGATGACGTACCGCGCTGCCAACCCACGTGGAGCGCCACATCAACATTGGTTGTTTATTACGCATTCTTCATGACAATATTATGCAGCAAACATCTCTTCAGCTTTCGGAAGAAATTTGTTCTTCGAAGTGATGGGTTTGTGCTTAGCGATGTTATGGCTGAAACTAGCTGTCAATTACTTAGGATTAAACATGCATTCAACACCGCACACTGCAGTATGTGTCGTGTTGGGGGTGAGCTGATCTATGACACTGTCTCTGGGTTTAAATTTTCGCATGTTGAATTCTACAAATGAGTCAACGAAAGTCAATGTAGCGTTGGGAGGACAAATCAACAAGCAATACCTCGAGAAATACCATTTGTGTTACTTTCATGTGTTGATCAACAAATACAGTAGACCTGAAACAAGAAGTTCGAAAAACCCCTTGGAAGCTATTTTACTAACCTTGAAGTAGGGATGTTATATATCAGGATGCCTAAGCATTATTCCATGGTATTCATGATGGTAGAACTTATAATGTTCTCAATGTTTATCCTAGTGTGAGCAACAATTCTACCCATAATGTTCATGTCAATGTGCGTGGAGTTAAGGATGTCAGCATACTATCAGTTTAGTGAATTAACTTTTACATGAAAATATGAATACTTGATTAGAAATTGTCATCTTTTGTATATTTAGTAGCTCTTGTAGTAGGATCACTGAATGGCTCAAGCACAGGGTTTTGCCGGAACTTCATCCTATGTATGTATATTATTTGATAGCTTGCCAAGTTGCACACGAACTACCTCTAGATGGTTATCCATGAATTTGACTTCACCCATGTTGAGTGTCCCACATGTGGCAGCAAATCCAATGTTAAGATAGTCTTGGACATTCGAGTTGACAATGTTGACCTGTCTATTAGTCAAATGCTAGTTAAAACTGAATACGAAAGTCAAAATGCTAGATGATATTTCCAGATATTTACAATTGTAAGGATCAGCTGAAACTAAGCATTTGTGCTCAAGACAAAGCTCATAACAGCAAGAAGAATGATTGATGGGCACTTTTGCCAAAGCTTACCCAGTGCTACTGGAGCATATTCTGTAAGGAAGTGGATATGTTGGCCAGTAGGGAGTGGAGTCCAGGTGTGATTCAGCCAGCAAAAGGGACTTGTATACGACATTCAACCATATTAATCTTACCTCTGTAACTTTGGATACACCAAAGCATAACAGGTGAGGATTTGAACTAAAGCTATGATTAACATAGCTATTTCATAAACATAAGCCTGTGTGGTTTTGTGTCATGGTTTCTTGTGTTGATTTTCTGGTGACTTGTAGATTTCTCAATTAATATCTAGGTCTTATTGAAAATTGCAGGCAAAAATTTCTATTTTCTGCTTGATGAGTTTTGAAGTTTCAGATATATAATTTTGATGTTATTCATTGCTTTGAGAGTTTTATGGCTAATGCTAATGCCCTTTCTCAAACTCCTCTTCTTTCTCCACTATCTTCTTATATTTATAATGAGCTTGTTATTCCGGCGTCTGTGGAGTTTTTAAACGAGGATTCTATGCCGTCGGCAGTTGCTATACTCGACGTTCAGTGTTCGCAAGGTGCAGAGCAGGATTTACCTTTTATTGATGAGGTTCGCGAGGCTCAAAAACTTGAGCCATGGATATGAAGGATTCGAGATGGGTTTAAGAATCTTGTATAACTTGCTAATGACTTGCCATTCTGACATTTGTATTCTTAGTAACGCTTTGAAGATGGCCTTCTTTACTTTGTGGGGACGGATCCTAATGGTCATTTACAGCTGGTGGTGCCTTCTGTCTTTATTTTGCGGTTTCTCCATGCCTACCACAATTCTCTTGTTTTAGGTGGGCATATGGGACATCGTCGTGTGATCGAGAAGTTACACAGGTATTTCTATTAGCCTGAAATATGATGTAATGTTATCTAGCATATACATAGCTGCGTTTGATGCTAAATTCGTAATACTCCCCCTCATGCTCCAGAAGGACCGTTAGAGTTAATTGCAATTTCTCCGTTTAAGTTGGTAGTATTTGATCTTATAGGACTTTTTCCACGGTTGATTGCTAGCAATGAATATGTTATTATTGCTTCTGATTATTTGACTTGTTGGGTTGAAGTTAGTGTTCTTACTAACGCCTTTACAACTGTTTTTGGATACTTCCTCCTCAATTGAGTGGTGTTCTAGCATTCTTATCCAGAGCAGATTCTTTCGGATAATGGTCTCGCATTTATGGCTGAGGCATTTCATGTTTTGACATCTTGGTTGGGGATACGCCACACTTTCATGAGTGCTTATCATCCACAATTAGATAGTTTCGTGGAACGACTTGTTTGGACATTCAAAGGGATGATTGCGAATATGTGAACTTTCAGCATTCGAATTGAGATGGTTATTTTCCGTCTCTTCGGTATGCATATGTCACAGGGGTGCAGAGTTCTGTTGGTGCTTCACCATATAAACTCTTATATAGTCATGATCCAATATTACCAACAGAGTTGGGTTTACCTTCGCAATTGCTATGAGCTGCTAATGCTAAATCGTGAGATCAATATTTGACGAACATTCTTCCACTTGTTCAATAGAGTTTGTCGAGCATTTAGGCTGCATACAAATGGAACAACAATGGCACTACAACTCCCATTATCGTCCACCTATAAAGTATAAAGTGGATGATTTCGTATTAATCCGTTTTCCCCATCTTACGGTATGTGGTTTATTTAAGGGGATTATTGTTCAGTGGAAAGCACTGTATCAAATCTTGCAGCAAGTTGAACCACTGTCAAGGGCCTGGAGTCGCTCTTGGTTAGTACTTAGCTTGATTTTTCATCTTTTTGCGGTTTTAGCTGTTAGTTAAGGGGGTTAGCTTAGCTGGCACAGTATATTCTAGTGCCTCTTGGGGTTGGGAGAGATAAAAGGTGGCGAAGAGGCATAGAATGTAAACCTTGGCAATAAGAGAAGAGTCCAGAAGCATGGCAAGGCCACCAGCAGTGATTCGAGTGGAACAGAGGCTGATCATGCGAAGGAGAATGAGGGAGATTGAACGACGGTTCTCAGATCGTGTGGCAAGGGAACAGAGGGTGCAGACTAGCTGTCCGACATGCAGCCAGCCTTGGGTTCATTTGCTTAGGGAGGTGCTGGCGGAGATCATCACTGAGCAGTAGATTCACGCTTGCTCTTGTTGGGGTCGTGTTTTGCACGACATCTTTGGTGCACTGCCCGGGAAACAAGGAGTGAGTGTGGAGATTGGTGGGAGAGAACCAGGCTACCTCCATCAAGTCAGAAGCCTCTCATGGAAGCCGGAGATTGCATCAACAGAGATCGTGTATGCGCCGATCCTTGCTAGAGTATCAGGAGCTGCTCGAGGAAAGATTGGATGCAGCAGCTAGAAGGGAGACTCAGAATCAGCGTAGAGCAGACAGAAGACAGCGCAGAGGGTTGACAACAACACCTCTGGTAACGCCGAGTATTACACCTCCAGAGGTCACGCTGAGGACATCGCCGGTAAAGTATCCTGGAGAAGGGGAGCAGCCCGATCAAGAAGACTTAGAGGAGTGGGGAGAATATCAATCCTCACCACCAGTACCAGCAACTTCGAGTTCGAGCAGTAGTAGTGGAACTAGTACACCGCCTACACCGCAAGGACCACCGAGACGACCAGCAATCATGACGACGAAGATGAAATACTCTTTCTTTATGGGCAGCAGAGATCCAGATGCTCATATAATGGCATTCGAGAACACCACCACCGCAAATGATGAAGATACGGACGCCGAGAGGAGAAAATTATTTCCAGCCACACTGCAAGGTGTTGCAGCCGAGTGGATGACCACCATACTAGCAGTGACAGTATGGGCAGATCTGAGATTAGCATTCCTGACAGCCTTCCGGCTGGTCGGATTCAACCAGAGGATCATGGACAGCCTTTACGATTTTCAGATGCTACCAGGAGAGAGCTTGCAGAGCTATACTTTGAGATTCAAAGGCCTTCTGCTGAAACGAGTGCCACAGCAGACAGCGGAGGAGCAAGTCAGATATTTCGTGGGAGGATTCCCCATAACACTGAAGGTGCACGTCAAGTGTCAGAACCCAGCCACTTTGGAGGCAGCCATAGGATTGGCGGGAAACTAGGAACAAGCCCATTACGGAACAGCCAGACAAACTGGATCGGGGATCATGAGCGGAAATATTATGGCGAGCTCAGTACCGGCAAATATGGCACATACAAATCCATCAATGTATCCTATGTATGGAGGCATCCAGCCTCCAGTACTTAGAACATTGGATTATAGCAGAATGGCGCATCCAGCCGCGGTACTGGGGCAGATGGTGCAGCCGATGGGGAACCAGCCGCAGATGCCCTGTGGTGGGTATCCCCAGCAGCCGACAGTACCAGATATGTAAGCGGAAATGAAGAAGGTTCAAGAGAGCCTGGTGGAGACCTTGACGAAGAAGATGGCTGATATGCAAAGCAATTGGATCAAGGGAGTACAGAATCCAGGAAGACAACAAAAGACGAGAGAAAATATCTGGTGTGTGTGCTGCAACATATATGGGCACTATCCTAACGAGTGTCCGAGCGGGGGGGCTGTGGCTCCGAGGTGCTTATACTGCCGGTGTACTAACCATAAATCGGAGGATTGCTTCTAAAAACCAGGATCAGAAGTACAGGCCGCGTACATACAAACAGCACCAGCTTCGCCAACATCAATATCTCCGCCACAGATGATGATTCAGAGGCCGTTTTCTCCTCCACCACATATCACGTACACACCAGTTTATCCAAATTATGCACCAGAGATGGTGCCAGTCTACGCAGCGGGAGTAGCACCGGCAGGACGAGGTCGCGGAGGCCAGAGGAGAGGACCTGTCACTTGCTGGAATTGCAATGAGCTGGGGCATATTTCTCCAAATTGCCCACATCCACGCAAGGAGATTGGTTACCAGCCAATTTGCGGAATTTGCCAAACTCAAGGGCTTCATGAGCAGGATAAATGCCCTCACAAGCTGCAGAAAGGCAAAGAGAAGATTGTGGTGGACTCCCAAGCCGTTTTCATTCAGCCAAGGGAGTGGAACTTACAAGATCCGGCAGGGCCAATTCAGTCCCCCGTTGCCGCGAACCTGCAGGAAATTTATGAGGACGCTGAGAAGGAGGACAAGCAGGTTCAAGTGCAGAGGCAACGCGCTTCACGCCAGCGGGATCGAAGCGCCTGAGCATTAAGAGCGCCGCCACCTTTTGCATGGCCATCTATCTTGGTGATTATAACAGCACCGACCTTAGCGCTCTCTCTAAAGGCCAGTGCTTGATCATTCGCAGCTTGCCCAATGCTAAGAGCGCCGCCACCTTTTGCATGGCCATCTATCTTGGTGATTATAACAGCACCGACCTTAGCGCTCTCTCTAAAGGCCAGTGCTTGATCATTCGCAGCTTGCCCAATGCTGCTATCCATGACGAAAATGATCAAATCGGGGTTCTGTAAAGTTCGAGAGCAAATGCTAAGTATCCTTGTTAATTTAAGCCGTTAATAAAACGAAGAAAACTTACTGTAGCAGCGGCAAGCTGGCGCATCTCCTCAAACAGCGCATTCTCTTGTTTGTGTCTTCCACTTGTGTCAAGAATGATCAAGTCGTGCTTCGCGTCGGCGAACTTCCTGACGCCCTCTTGGGCAATCACCACCGGGTCTGTCTCCGTATAGCTTCCGTAGAAGGGGATCTTCACCTTCGTGGCGTTCTGCTTTAGCTGATCGAATGCTCCAGCCCGGAAGGTGTCCGCGCAGACCAGAGCCGGATTAAAGCCCTTCTTCCTGTAGTGAAGAGCATACTTGGAGCACGTCGTGGTCTTCCCACACCCTTGCAATCCCACGAGCATGACGACGTTGGTTCTTCCTTTTGTGGGAGTAAACGATGGCTTTCCAGCGTCAAGCATGGCACGGAGTTCATGGAAAACAGCCTAGAGATAAAGATTAGATCATGAATCATTGAATCGAAGGAATGGTTACCTTTTGGATGATATGTCTCTTGTCATGCCCGGCCGCGAGCTTCTCCACCGATTTCCTTACGTTTGAGGAGAGCGCTTGGACGAGCTTGAACTGGACGTCGGCTTGGAGCAGTGCGTGGGTGATCTCGTTCACGCAAATCGTGAGTGCCTTGTCGTCGATTACGGTTGCAGTGTTGAGCCTCTGGATCGCACCAGAGATGCGGCTGCCGAGTTCTCCTAGCACCATTGTCGAGTAAACCCTAAAAAAGCCCAATTAAATACTGAATCAAAAGGGCGAAAAACCCTAAAAGGGCGTAGTGATCCTGTTCGATCGAGGTAAGAATCCGATCCCAAGCGCTCTGGCGCTGGAGTATTTCTAGCATTGGGATGATAGCATTCTTCCCTCCGATTGAAATGCACGGCCCTCCAGGAAAGAAAGAAAGCATTTGGTCGCTCCGGAAGCTCTTGCCAGTTCTATTTTTTGAAAAACGCTGGAAGCATCCTATTCTACTCTTATTGTTTGGCCTTTCATGTGATCATTGGTTCTTGTACAGCTTGGAACCAAAAAAAATGGAAGATGAAAGCTCTGCTAGCATGACTGGACTCCATCGTCAACAGTAGCAGGAGCAACTTTTCTCATCAACCTGGGCCTCACCTCCGCACGGTAGAACTTGGCGGACCTCAAGCTGAAAACCACGGCGATGGCGCACCCAAACAAACAGGTAGCGGCCATGACGAAGAAGGTTTCGCTGTAGCACTTGGCACCGTGGCACAAGAGCCCGGCCTCCAGCGTGTCGGGGCCCCGGTATCTCCTGGCTTGCCGATCGTAAAACACACCCGCAACTTCCACCGATAGGACGAACGTCCCAATCCCCTTTGCGATGTTTGGGAAGCTCTGGAGAACTCCATAGTGCTTGAGCCCGAAGATCTCCGCGATGATGGTCGACAGCACCGCCCACTGGCCTCCGGTGGCGAGGCCGATGATGATGGAGCCGATGTACAGCGCGCCGGGAAGGCCCAAGGCGATGAGCAAGTTGCCGAGCGCTAGAAAGCCGACCACCGCAGCGAACACGAACGGCCGTCCAATGCCAAACTTGTGCAGGAGTATCTCGGACGCAAAGCCGCAGCCGATTGCTCCCAGGAAGTCCCAGATGTTGAGGAGAGCCACGAAGATGTTCATCCTTGCGGTGGAGTATCCCAGGGAGGCGCTCAGCTGGCCCAAGTTGTTGTAGAAGGTGGACACGGTTCCCAGGCCGCAGGAAGTCGCGATGAGCATGAGCCACATATCGATGCTCAGCAAGGCGTGGACGAGCCTGTAGTCCTTACCTCTCGCCGGGACTTGGAACCATCTGCAGCTGCCAGCGCCGGAAGCTTGAGAAGGAGAATGGTCGACGACTTGCAGAGCACTCGGGGTGGAATTCATATCCGCGAGCTGAGCTTCAGACTTATCAGTTGGCGGTGGTGCGTGGATGCTTTCAAGTTGATCGACAGACTTCTCAGTTGGCGGTGGTGTCTGGATGCTTTGCAGTTGATCGACAACACCAGCACCGTTCGAATGTGATCGAAGCTCAGCTCGGACAACCAGAACAACCGGAGGTAGGACGATGACCAGCATCAACCCGAAGAACACCAAAGGCACCGAGTCTGGAAGCCTGCTCGGTATGGTCCCCTCGATGACTGTGACGACGAGGAGATAGCCCGCCAAGGCAAAAGTGGTGATGAGGAACGAGTTGAGAATGGACTTGTCGCCAGGCCTCTCGACGACAGGCACGGGCCCGAGGAAGAGGCCAAGCAGCAGATACAGGAACGTCGGTAGCAGCCCCAGGAAGAGCAGAAAGGAGCGAGCGTGGAACTGGAAGAAAGTCTGGAACACAACCGCGAATGCGGTTGCTCCCAGGCCATTGCTGCCGTCGAGCAAGCTCAGCAGCATCCCCTGGTGATGTTTGGGGAAGTTCGTGGCACAGGTCGACAGGACAGCCGTGACTGCAAAGCCTACAGAGGCGCCGACGAGAAACATGTAGAAGCTCATTTGCCATGCCGGTGGACGAGCAATCTGGTGGGTGATGGCGAGCCAGGCCATGGTGTAGCCGAACAAGTTGAGCAATGCGGAGACGAGCATGGTGAGACGGGGTCCGACTCTCGCATTGAGCAAGCCGGCCAGGAAAGCCATGCTGGTGCCGAGATCCTTGAAAAAACTGATGGTATTGACGGACTCTTGCTTGTAATGCAGGGAGACTTTGAGCTCTTGCGAGAACAAGCTGAAGCTGGTGAGCGTGCCTCCGGTGATTGCTATCAGGTAGAAGCCCGACACTGCGATGATCCAGCGATTGCTGGCGATGGAGAAGAGTTCCTTGGCCATTGCTAGCGCCATTGCCGCCAGCGCTGTGAGGTAACAAGAAAGCTCTATAAAATCATCGTCCTTTATGCAAAGGCTTTTGTTTTTGCAGTCCGTGCCACGACCGGACTTGCGTGGACGATCTTTCCTGTTCGATACAAAAACGTGACAATTCCGAAGTTTCGTGGCTCCAATTTTCTATGTCGTGGGTCAACTAAGTTGAGCATTGACGCTTGATGTGGATCTGGGGCAGGGCCAGATGCGGACGCTGGTCAAGTCACGGGTACGGAAAAGTCTACAAAATGGTCTTGAGCGGGGGGCGGATCCGGAATCGGCGCAATGGTAACATTTTTATCATCTTCGTGCTGCCGACCTGAAAATCTTATTTTTTGCAACTATATAAGCAGGGCACTGGGAGGACACTGATATCCGCATCTCAAAGTTGAGAAAGCCTAGCATCCAAGCATACATTTCCATTTCCATCTTTCATCTTTCAAGCTTTCTTGGTTACACAGTCCCATCCATGGCTGGCATCAAGGCATTTGTTGACAGCTGCAACGGGATGCTGGACAGCGTTCCAGACAGATACATGATGCCGAATGAAGCTGCCGATGTCTCCCGGTACGCGGTGCTGCCGATAGTCGATGTGGCAAGCGAGAGCTTCGAGAGGGATCTCGTTGACGCTTGTACAAAGTACGGAATTTTCTACGTAAGTTTTCAAGAAAGACCTTTTTCCTGTAGTACATGTTTGCTAAGTTGTTGTTCTTCTGACTTGCAGCTCAAGAACCACGGAATTCACACCGAGGATGTGATGAGGTGCGCTCTCGAGTTCTTCAACTCGCCCAGCGAGGACAAGATGCGATACTACACCGAGGAGATCTTCACACCCGTCCGCTACTGCACCAGCATGATGCCTTCGAAAGAAGAGAAGCTCGAGTGGCACGACCACCTCCAGATGTGGCTCAAGGAAGAGTCCCTCGGAGCGCACCCCTGGCCCGCGTTCCCAGCCAGCTACAAGTCAGTTTCTCGCTCCTTGATTACGGTATTGCTCTAGATTGCTGACGCTCTATATGCAACAGGGACGTTGGATCCGAGTACGCCAGAAACATCTTCAAGCTCGGGAAGAGGATGCTGTTGGTCATGTCCGAGGGACTTGGCCTCCGCTCAAACCGTCTTCTGGAAGCATTCGCAGACATGGTTCTTCTGACGAGAGCAAACTTCTATCCGGCTTGCCCGAACCCGAGGCAGGCCTTGGGCATGGAAGGCCACACTGACAGCGGCGGCCTCACGTTTGTGCTCCAGGATGGAGTCGGGGGATTGCAGCTGAAGCAAGGCGAGGATTGGTACAACGTGAGGCCACTCGAGGGAATGCTGGTGGTCAACATGGGCGATCAGCTAGAGGTACGAGCAGTCGAAAACGTTTTGAGAAACTGTGGATTGATCTTTGTCTTGGTTGATTGTCTTGTATCAGAAGCTCAGCAATGGGAGATACAAGAGCATATTGCACAGGGTGATGGTGAACTCGAAGAGCTCAAGGCTGTCCGTTGGGGCGTTCCTGGGGCCGTCACTAGACGCGGAGATCAGCCCGATTCCAGAGCTGGTGAGCCGGGACAGTCCAGCAAAGTACCGCAGCAGGACTTATAGGGATTACATGCACGAGGTGTACACGGAGCACTTCTCCGGGAAGAATGTCTATGTGGCTTGAGTCTTGGGGGGTAGTCAAAGGCACCAATTTTTTTCTCATTCTCACAAATAAAACAGTTGCAAGAAATGTTTGCTCACAAGGATCTTAGTTTGATAAGCAAAGATTTTATCACAATATTATATAGAGGTACGAAATGTCATGGCAAGCCGACTGTGTGCTGCGTAGAAGATCGTAAAAGTTTAACAATCTGGGAGGAAGTCCAGCAATGTATTGTTAAGCAATATAACTTTTTAAAATCACAATATGAAAGACATACGAAGCTTCTTATTATATAAAGTCTCATCATTTTTTTAAGGCAGCGAAGAAGCTCTGAGGTACCAGAATGATATGACTAAGGTGAAAGTCCTCACCAAAAGCAGTGGTTTCCCAGCAGGTGTCCATTCTTTCTTTTCATTTTCTTGAGATTTTCAGCTGCCATCCCTCAGCAACTTGAACTTCGATAGATAGTTGAGAAATTTTTGCCTGCAGTTTTCAGCAAGACCTAGATATTGATCGAGGGCGAACTCATAGAGAAATCTGCAAGTCACTAGAAGATCAACACAAGAAACCATGACACAAAACCACACGGGCTTATGTCTATGAAACAGCTACGTTGGTCATAGCTTGTTGAAAGTACAGTTCAAATCCTCGCCCGTTATGCTTTGGTATATCCAAAGTTACAGAGGTAAGATTAATACGGTTGAATGTCGTATACAAGTCCCTTTTGCCCGGCTGAATCACACCTGGACTCCACTCCCTACTGGCCAACATATCCACTTCCTTACAGAATATGCTCCAGTAGCACCGGGTAAGCTTTGGCAAAAGTCCCATCAATCATTCTTCTTGCTGTTATGAGCTTTGTCTTGAGCACAAATGCCTAGTTTCAGCTGATTGTAAGTATTTGGAAATATCATCTAGCATTTTGACTTTCACATTCAGTTTTAGCTAGCATTTGACTAATAGATAGGTCAACATTGTCAACTCGAATGTCCAAGACTATCTTAAACATCGGATTAGCTCCCACATGTGGGGCACTCAACATGGGTGAAGTCAAATTCATGGATCCATCTAGAGCTTGTTCGTGTGCAACTTGGCAAGCTATCAGATAACATACATACATGGGATAAAGTTCCTGCAAAACCCTGTGATTGAGCCATTCAGTGATCCTACTACAAGAGCTACTAAATATACAAAAGATGACAATTTCTAATTGGCTATGATGAATGAGGTAAATATTCTATGTTCAAGTTTCATAAGTATTCATATTTTCATGTAAAAGTTAGTTCACTGAACTGATAGTATGCTGACATCCTTAACTCCACGCACATTGACATGAACATTATGGGTAGAATTGTTGCTCACACTAGGATAAACATTGAGAACATTATAAGTTCTACCATCATGAATACCATGGAAAAATGCTTAGGCATCCTGATATATAACATCCCTACTTCAAGGTTAGTAAAATAACTTCCAAGGGGTTTTTCCTTTTCTTGAACCTCCTGTTTCAGGTCTACTGTATTTGTTGATCAACACATGAAAGTAACATAAATGGTATTTCTGGAGGTAGTGCTTGTTGATTTGTCCTCCCAACGCTACATTAACTTTCGTTGACTCATTTGTAGAATTCAACATGCGAGAATTTAAACCAAGAGACAGTGTCATAGATCAGCTCACCCCACACATACTGCAGTGTGCGCTGTTGAATGCATGTTTAATCCTAAGTAACTGACAGCTAGTTTCAGCCATAACATCGCTAAGCACAAACCCATCACGTCGAAGAACAAATTTCTTCAGAAAGCTGAAGAGATGTTTGCTCCATAATATTGTCATGTAGAATGAGTAGTAAACAACCAATGTTGATGTGACGCTCCACTTGGGTTGGCAGCGCGCCACGTCATCGGCTACCATTTCTTGGGCAGATCTTTCTCTTGAAAATGCTTTGATGATCCTCCGAGAAGTCACTTTTTTCTAGATCTGTTGCACCAAAGAGCAAGCGCTACAAGACGAACCCAGCAAGCTGGACGCCAAATTCCGCACTGGGAGCTCGATCAAGGACCGCGACAACCTGTGGCGCAGGCAACAAGAGCAGCTCCCAATCGATGATCAGGGAAACACTTCTATAGCTCATGGATCCGGGAGGTGCTGGGGCAGGAAGCGCTTCTACAACTCGTGCATCGGGGAACCGAGAGATTTCTCCAGAGGTCGCTGGTGCTCGCGGCATTCAAGGCTTGCAGCTGGTGGCGGTGCTCAATGTTTCTTTTTGGTTGTTACATCGGCAGATGGAGCTTGTGATTCCCAAGTTAGGGCGGATGAAAAAGCCCATTCGGAGCCTTTTTCTGCAGAGAAGGCACGGCAATCACGCAGGGCCGATTGTTTGCGCCACTAGGTAATGTTTGAGACAAATCGGGATCAAAGCACACCGCGCTAGCGGACAGAACAGGAAAACCCTAATGGACACGTGGCGAGGGTGTGTCGTGTAACACTCCCCCCCAAACCGAAGCCACTCACCAAACCAAATCTGTCACGTAGGAGCTGAAATTGGTGTGACCCCAACGGCTTAGTGAGAAGATTGGCTGGCATATCCTGTGTCCCGAGATGTTGGATGGCGAGGGTGCCCCCGTCAACCAACTCACGCACGTAGTGAAATTGGACTTCAATGTGCTTCGAGCGGGCATGGTGGATGGGGTTCTTGGACATGGCAATGCTGCTTCAGTTGTCACACCAAGAAGTAGTGGGGCCAGCTCATGCACATCCCAGCTTAGCAAGTAACCCTCAAGCCCAGACCACGTCCCTGCTACTAGTAGTGAGTGCGATGCACTCCGCTTTTGCACTAGAAAGGGCCACCATAGATTGTCACTTGGAGGCCCACGTGATGGCACTTCTTGAGAAGGAAAGGCAAATGCTAGAAGTCGAGTGATGACCTTTGTTGTTGGCAAAACTAGCATCTGTGTAGCATGCTAATGATGCATCACCCCTTGAATAAGCAATGCCATAGTCCATAGTGCCCCGGAGGTATCTCACAATACGCTTGGCAGCTTGCCAATGTATGGTGGTTGGTGATGTGTTGTACTGACTCAAGGCAATAGTCACATATGTGATGTCGGGGCGAGTCATCAGGGCCAAATATGTGAGGCAACCAATGAGATGCCAATAGGGAGTCCCAGTGGGTAGAAGCTCACCAGATTGCTCAACTGTGAGGTTGATAGCACCAATGACCATCGGGGTCTTGATGGGGTGGCAATCACGCATACCAAACCGATCCAGCAAGACTTCAACTTTACGCTGTTGGCTAAGCATGTAGCCACCAGAATCAGGATCACGTGTGACTTCAAAGCCAAGAAAGTAGGAGACTTGGCCAAGGTCCTTCATCTGGAATTGCTGGTTGAGAGCATCTTTCAGAGCAGCAATGGCATCGTTGTCATCACCCATGATGAGCAAATCATCAACGTAGAGGGCCACAATAACCATGCACTCAGCATGACCATTGACATACACATTGTGATCAGCATAACAGCGACGAAAGCCTTGAGCACGTAGGGTGGCATCAAATTTTTGATACCAAATACAGGAGCTCTGTTTTAAGCCATACAAAGCTTTCCGCAATTGCCATATAGGGCCACCAGGGGCAACATCGTCCTCAAAACCAGGAGGTATATGCATATAGATGTCCTCTTGCAAATCCCCATTCAGAAATGCAGTTTTGACATCCATATGGTGGACTTGCCATTTGCGAGCAGCCGCAAGGGCAAAAAGAGTACGGAGGCTGGCCATTTTTACAACCGGTGAGAATGTTTCATCGTAGTGAAGGCCATGGACTTGGCGAAAACCGCGAACAACCAACCGTGCCTTATAACGTACAACCTGGCCATCTTCCCATACTTTTTGGAAAAAATCCATTTTGGATCCAAAACACATCGTCCCGGTGGCGCTGAATCAACTAGAACATAAGTTCCGTTAGCCCGAATGGAAGAAACTTCTTCCGCAATAGCTTCCATCCAAGATGAAGCCTCAGGTCCTGAGATGGCCTTATCATAGGTCATGGGGATGCCGATGTCAACAAGGCCACAAAAGTCATCAAGCTCTGCAGCATCTGCTTCAGCATTTTCCCGGACTTTTAACGAGGGCCGACGTTCCCAGGGGTGATCAAGAACTGGCATCGGATCATGCATGCCACGACGTCGACAAGGTGGTGGAGGTGTTGGAGGCATGTCCTCAACTACAGGAAGATCAGCTGGTTCAAGCATGTCTAGAAGTGGAGGATTCCACAATGGAATCTCTGGTGGCAACTCATGAATAGGATCTTGAGGTGGAGGCAAGAGTGGACCATCTCCCATAAGTGGGATTAAAGGAACAAGTCGAGTTTCAGCAATAAAGGAAGGATCTTGAAGAGCCTCTGTACGCATGGGAAAGTCGTCTTCATTGAACATGACATCTGTGCTTACAATAGCCTTGTGAGATGCAAGATCCCACAACTTGTAAGCTTTTCTCCCGATAGTGTCGTCCTGTGCATATCCCACGAAGATGAATTTTTTACTCTTGGGATCTAGTTTTTTCCAAAGTTGATCAAGGGTATGTGCGTATGCTGCACAACCGAAGACCCGAAAGTGGGACACATCAGGAGTAGAACCTGTCCAAAATGCCTCATGGGTTTTTCCATCCAAAGCAGCCATGGCAAGGCGATTTTGTACATGCATTGCTGTGGCTATGGCCTCTTGCCAAAACATCTTGTCAAGATGTGCATTAGCTAACAAAGCACGAGCAGCATTGACAAGAGTATGATTCTTCCTTTCTCCAACACCATTTTGCTGGGGGGTGTAGCGGGCTGTAGCTTGCAGTCGTATGCCTACATCACGACAGATGCCCCGAAGCTCATTGTTGAGGTATTCACCACCACCATCAACTCGAAGAGCTTTTATCTTTCGACTAAGGAGGTTTTCAACGTACACCTTGTATGTTTGAAAGGCAGCAACTGCATCACTCTTACGTATCAAGAAGTGGATGCATGTTCGATGGCTATAGTCATCAATGAATGTGATGAAATATCTTGTGCCATTGTGACTTGGCACGTCCATGGGGCCGCAAAGATCAGAATGG